CTCATTGGTTGGTTACCATTAAAATGTGTTGATTTTCAATTAAATATAGCTTTTACAATATATTTGGTGCTTCTTTCTTCCAACCAAGAGGATACAGTGTATCTATACATGTTTATTTAAGCAATTATATAGGTTAACATACATCTAAATCAGATTTTTAATTTTTACATTTTAAATACATTCCACCCTGCTATTAACATTACTACATTGTATAGGCTATGAAGTTAGGTACACTGGATCTCCCAACGTAAATGTGCACTTCATTTCTTTCACTGCATACACAAGGATCAGAGAGAAAGGCGCGCGCGCATACACACACACAGAAAGTTGTAGATTATAGTTTTCTAACAAGTATTATTGCACCCACCATGAGGTAACTACTTTGTACCTCTTTATGATGGATAAAGATGAAGAAAGCATTGGACTGGACAGCTATGGTTGTTCAGGGAACAGTGACCATGAAGTGATTACACTGAATATGGGGAAAGAGAAGACAGTTCCAACAGTAATATGTACACTTGGTGCTTCAAAAGAAGCATTTTCCCAAAGTTAAAGAAAATTATGAGCTAAACTGATTGGGGGAGAAAACATACAGGAAAAAAATTGGGAGAGTTAATAAAAAGAAGAATTTATTAGGTGGCCTACAAGCCACGAGTCCACAATCAAGAATTAAGACAACTTTGGCTAAAAGTAAAGGCAGCAATTAAAAATAAAAAAGCAACATATGGGAAATAGATAGTCAACAAATTAGAAGTTATGAAGTGTAGAAAATTCATAAGGGAATCTAAAGATATGGAAAAATCTAAAGATATGGAAAAGACTAGCAGGGCTAAGGACAATCAGATGTAGATTTAATGTCTATTAAGAACAAAAGGAACCCTAGCAAGAATATAAACACATTGGTAAATTAATATGGTAATAGCATTTATGATGCAGGAAAACAAGAGTGTTAAATATTTCTGTTCTGTATCTGGAAAGAAAGATGGTGTATTTGTCAAGCTGCCTGGAGTGTCAGCCAACCTCAGGGCAGACTGTTAGGAAACAGGACATGAACCCCAAACTTGTGTTTTATAATTAAATTTCACCAAGTAACAAGTGTGAACTCATAAAGCACTATAAACAGCCTTAAACTGGAGTCAAGAACTGTACTATTTGGCACTCTAGTCTCTCTTGCCACCCAGGCAAGCCTGCCTTTGAGAGAGATGGTCCCTTACACTGGAATTCTCAGTCTTTTTCTCTCCAAGCCGACTCTCCCCCACAATAGGCTATAAAAACCTGTGCCACAACAACTGTTTTTCTTCATATAAAAGTCAGGGTCAGCATTAGTGGGTAGCAAGCAGGGCAACTGCCTGTGGCCCCACGAAGCACACAGGACCCCTGCTGGTGCTGGGGGAGGGAGGATTGGTGGGGCTGGCAGGGGCTTTCTACCAGCTCCATGTCCCTGCAGCTCCTAGGCAACAGATGCAGGGGCCAGGGCAGAGGCTCCACTGCTCCCACCACAAGCCACAGCTTCTATTGGCCGGGAACTGCAGCCAACGGGAGCTGCAGGGGTGAGACCTGCTAGAACAAGCAGCGCAGAGACCCCAGCCTCTCCGCCGCCTAGAAGCTGCAGGGGGGCCATGCCAGTGGGAGACCCCCATCCCAAGGTAAGCACCCCCACTTCCCAACCTCCTGCCCTTAAGCCCCCTCCCACATGCCCAAACTTCTGCTGCTCAGAAAGGGCAGCCTCTGAGCCAGCATCAGCCGCTGTAGAAGTCATGGTGGTCACGGAATCCATGACTTCCTTGACAGACTCGCAGCCTTACTTATAACGAATATCTTTGTTAACAATACTAACAGAGGTGAGCCAGACTGGTTTCTAGCTAAGCATTGTCAAAGTTCAGTGAGGGCCACGGGCCTTGGCATGGACTGGCATCTGGTCTGCCAGGATCACAGTATTCATATCACATTAGGACGACGAAGTATTTCAGAACCCATTAGCAGGCCCAGATAAAATTTGCAGCAAGATTTCTGGCCTACCAATGTTAATTTGACACAAGCACAAATAGATATCAACTAGCCATCAACAAGTGTAGGCTTGAAATTAGATGGTTTCTAACCATCAGAGAAGTGAATTTCTGGAATAACCTTCCTACGGGAGCAGTGGGAGCAAAAAACCTAACTTGTATCAAGCTCAGTCTTGGAATGTTTATGGAGCAGACAGTATGATGAGATGGGTCTTTTACCATTGTAGACAACCTGCTAATAGCAAAAATCCCCAATAGTCAGAGATGGGGCGGGCTTTGAGTTACTACAGAGAATTCTTTTGCAGAGGCCTGGCTGGTGGATTTGCCAACACACTCAGGGTTCAACTGATCACCATATTTGGAGTCAGGAAGGAATTTTCCCCCAGGTCAGATTGGCAGAGACCCTGGGGGGTTTGCCTTCCTCTGCAGCATGGGACATGGGTCACTTGCTCATTTAAACTAGAGTAAATGGTGAATTCTCTGTAACTTGAAGTCTTTAGATCATGGTTTGAGGACTTCAATAACTCAACCAGAAGTTACAGGTCTATTACAGGAAGGGGTGGGTGAAGCTTATGGCCGGAAACCTGCAGGAAGTCAGACTGGGTGATCACAATGGTCCCTTCTGGCCTTAGAGTCTACGAGGGTCTTATATACAAGTCCTTAGGAATGCTTAAATGTAGGCAACACCAATGATCAGCAACAATTGCTCAATTAAAATATCAAACAGCAACTTAACTTACAGGTTTCAGAGTAGCAGCCGTGTTAGTCTGTATTCGCAAAAAGAAAAGGAGTACTTGTGGCACCTTAGAGACTAACAAATTTATTTGAGCATAAGCTTTCGTGAATGCATCTGATGAAATGAGCTGTAACTCACGAAAGCTTATGCTCAAATAAATTTGTTAGTCTCTAAGGTGCCACAAGTACTCCTTTTCTTTTAACTTACGGTTTCAGAGTCAAAGTAACCAAGTGCAATGGATTATGTCAACTGTACAAATGTGGTGACTAAGGCTACCATTTGGTGCAGAGGTCAATGTGTTCACAGTAATCATGAATTTGAATAACGTCTGTGACCACCACATTGGCAGCTCCTTTCCCCTGCGGGTGTTGCAGCACCACTCAGGTTTTGCGCATCCAGCTCTGTGTAGATACAGGGGCAGAGGGCCAAAATGACTGGCACTGTGACCCAGTGGACTAGGTCATAACACCAATCAAGTCTACTCCTTTCCCTCCACCTACAGAAGAGCAGACACACCACACCTGACTGGTGTTACAGCCACAGGAACCAAGTCAGAACAACCAGAGCCACCCCCACCCCCAAAAGACAAGAGCCCATGCTACACAACTTCCTCCTCCACATGCACACAGCCCCCTCCCCCCCTTTCCATGGGGCATCCTTATTTTCCCACATCTCTTCCATGACATTTACTGGAATTTTCCATGAAAAAAGTCATACCTTTAATGGTGACCCATGCCTCCTCTTACTTATTACATATCCAGTTAAGTTTGATCACAGAAAAACACAAAAGTTTGATTCTCAACTTCTGTATTTCCAGCAATTTCTGTGCATGGTAGAAAGTTGAAAGAAAACCAGATGCATTTTGACTGTTACACCAAGTACTGAATTGCACCTTTTCAAATATCATTCACTGACCATTTGGAAACTGAAATGCCTCCACCCAATACTACTAGTATGACTTTTATAACAATTTAGTCACATTATGGTGATGTTTTTGGAAAACGGTAACCTTACACTATTTTTTAAGTTGTTCTTGAAATAAAGAACTCAAAACCACATATAAAGAACCAACTTCAGCCTCATGGCAAAGCTATTAACTCCAGAAGCCCATAGTTTAGTGCCAGTATATGAAAACAAGTTTCTTCTATAGTATCTACATCAGGTATAAACTGCAAATAACTCAGAACTGGACAGTGAAAAACTCATAGGAAGAAACAAAACAGAGGCTTGTACTACCACTTATGTCCGTATAACTTACATCACACAGGATGTGACTAAGCCACCTCCCTGAACTACACAAGTTGCACTGACCTAAGTGTTGGTGTGGACAGCGCTATGACAGCAGAAGAGGTGGTTTTATTACACTGACAGGTGAGCTCTCTCCAGTCAGCACAGAGCGTCTTCAGCAGACAACCTGTGGAACTCTTTGCCAGTGGATGTTGTGAAGGCCAAAACTATAATAGTGATAGTGACCCTAGCCTCCATTTGCTGAAGCTACGAATAGGAGACAGGGAATGGATCACTTGATGATTACCTGTTCAGTTCATTCCCTCTGGGGCACCTGGCATTGGCCACTATCGGTAGACAGGATAGTGGACCAGATAGACCTTTGGTCTGACCCAGTAGGGCCATTCTTATGTTATTACATGCTGCATCAGTGCAGCTGTAACATTTCTAACATAGACTAGTCCTAAGTTTTCACACACACACACACACTGCACTTTCCACCAGATTTAACTGTTTTACCAACATCAAGGATCTGCTCCCTTGGCCAATTTGATAAACACACTCAGATTCTACATTGAATAACTACATAAGTATTCCACTTACTAGCGGAATAGAGATGAGAAAGAGAGAAAATTAGGCCCTTTGATTTCCTACAGCCCATGGCCCCAGCAAGCAGAGAAAATCCTTACGGTTCCTTCATTCATTCCAAGCTTCCTCCAGAACGACAGGGCTCCTCTCGCCCCTAACCCAGCATTTTCCCCGCCTCAGGTTAACCCTACGCCCCCTCCCCGAGGGGACCACCCTAATTAACTCCTTCATCAATTCACGTGGACACATGAATCCTCCAAATACCCCGCGTCTACCCACTGCCCCTCCCAGGCAGCCTTTATCTCCACACGGGCGACAAACCGAGATACCCAGTACACCCCCGACACGGGCGCCGCTCCCCGGGGCCACCGTTCTCCGCCAACACCTCCCTGCCCCCGCCGGCCTGCCAAGAGGCGCCTTCCCCAAGGCCCCGCCCCACTCACCGTTTCTTAGGGATGGTGGATGCGACCGGCCGCTCAGCTGCGCCCCCCGCCCTGCACTGGCTCGGGGAGAGGAGCCGCTCAGCCTCGGGCGCCCGGCTCGCCGGCGAGCCCTGCAGGTGGCCAGAGAGGATGCGCAGCCTCCGCTGGGCAGCGGGCTGGGACCCCGGGCCGCCTGCCTCGGCTGCCGCCGCCATCGCACTTCCGCGTTGCGCCGCCGGGTAAGAGGTCACACGCGGGAGGGGAGGAAAGCGCTGCGAGCGCTTGTCGGTACTCCCGGCATGCACCTCTTTCCCAGCCCTCCCGCCCGCGGAGGCAGGGCCCCGCCCCTCGCACCTGTGCGGCGGGCAGCGCCTCGCCCCTTCCCCAGCCAGGGCACCCCAGCCAGGGCGGCGTTCTCTCGCTGCCCAGCCCGCCCCTTGCCGTGTGGAGCCCGGGCCCAGCAGGAGAGCTGAGCCTCCGCCCCTTCCCCCCTTCGCTCCATGGCAAAGGAAACCCGCTCATCCATTCCCTCCATCCCTGCGCCAAGGCACTCAGCGGCGGGTGTGGAGCCTCCCGGTTCTGAACCCTCCGCCCCGTCAACAGAGGCTGCACTCCTCTCGGCCCAGCCCGCTGTCACCCTGTTCACAAACTGTGGGATGGGTGGTGTTTGTCCAGCAGCCCCAGCGTCTGCACTCCTGCACTTTAGCTGTCACCTTAGAAAAGCCCTGGTACAGGTCTGCCCTGTGGTTAGGAAGACGGGTCTGAAAACGTGAGCTGACTCTACCCTACAGGCACAGAGGCTGGAACGGGGGCGGGGGCCAGCTTGAAGTGGTTACCATCATATACAGGATTTATGGTTTGGTTCAATGGCTCTCAGCACCCCCTACTATACAAATGGTTGCAGTATCCCTGCCTACAGGCTCAAAAACCAAATGGTAAATCAAAAGCCCTGAAATGGATTATGGTTTTCAAACCTCACATTTTACAAACCAATTGGAAGAATTTAGGGAGCCTGACTCAAGAGTTTGAACACTGCCATCCTACCATTCTGAACAGGGATTAGAGCAGGGGTTGGCAAACTTTTTGACCCAAAAAAGTCTAGGTATGATCTAGGTATGGAAATTGTATGGCGGGCCATGAATGCTCATGAAATTGGGGTTGGGGGTCAAGAGGGGGTGAGGGCTCTGGCTGGGGGTGGGGGCTCTGGGGTGGGGCCAGAAATGAAGAGTTCAGGGTGCAGGAGGGGGCTCCAGGCTGGGGCAGGAGGTTGGGGTATTGGGGGGTGAGGGCTCTGGCTGGGGGTGCAGGCTCTGGGGTGGGGCTGGGGATGAGGGGGTTGGGATGCAGGAGGGGGCTCTGGGCTGGGATCAGAGGGTGGGAGGGGGATCAGGGCTGGGACAAGGGGTTGGGGTGCGGGAGGGGCTCAGGGGTGCAGGCTCCTGGTGGTGCTACCTCAAGCAGCTCCCGGAAGCAGCGACATGCCCCCCTCCGGCTCTTACATGGAGGCACGGCCAGGCGTCTGCCCCGTCCGCAGGCGCCGCCCCTGCAGCTCCCATTGGAAGCAGTTCCCGGCCAATGGGACGGGAGCTACAAGGGCAGCAGTTGGGGCGGGGGCAGTGCACAAAGCCCCCTGACTGGCCCTAAACATAGGAGCCGGAGGGCAGACATGCCGCTGCTTCCAGGAGCTGTGTGGAGTTGCGGCATGCGCGTGCAGAGCGGCCCCCGACCCCGCTCACTGGCTGGAGCACAGGAGTGGGACATGCCCCAGACCCTGCTCCCCAGCAGGAGCTCAAGGGCCAGATTAAATCAGCTGGCAGGCCGGATGTGGCCTGCGGGCCATAGTTTGCCCACCACTGGATTAGAGCCTCCTAAACCATCTGAGCACCACCTGGTGTTTTTATCCCTTGTCTCATTCTTCCTTACATTCAGTGCAGACACCTGGGTTCCTCCTGATGAATATATTCAGGTACCTGCAACATAATCTACAATTTAGTGGACATTAGAGGATTCAGAGAAATTCAGTATAAATTATTGCTCTTAGCTGTTCCTAAACATAGCAATACATGTATATAACTCCATTTTCTTGTTTGGCCCTGGCCTTGCCTATTCCTAATTAATTCTAATCTGTATAGTTATGATAGTCTGAATACATAATAATATGACTATTACTAGTATTTTAACATCAATTAGTGCTACTTATTTTTACACAATAATAGTTCCTTGTAGAGGAGAATAAGAAGTTACCGAGTACCAATATATATAAAACAGCTAGCTTCTGAACCTAGCCTAGTTTCAGGGCTTTGGGGCCAGTTACAGCAGAAGAATAGGTCACAGCAGCTTTGGGTTGGTGGTGTCAAGTAGAGGGGCAGGTATATAAAACAGGGAATCATAACTGGGTTACATGTGTAAAACATGTACACATGTGTACATAGAAACAAAATAGCACCATCAAAAATAATCTAATATACAAAGAGGGCCTAAATCTTCTTAGTCATGTTACCAGAACATTTTAAACTTTTACTGCCCGCACTCATAAATTAATGTGGAATCCTGCCCAGTTTAGGAGACTAGATATCTCTGCTAACTTAATCCCTCCTAGTGCATGGAGTGACTATGCTATATCTCATTCATCCTTACAGCACAGCCACTGCACCCACTCTTAAGAGATGAGAGCATCCTTCTAAACTCACCCAGCCTGTATAAGAACCAAAGTTTAAAGGACACATAATAATTCAGAAATATGTAGTTTAAATTACAATTATTAATTGGTAATATACATTGGCATATTTGTGTGGCTGAGTTATTTTGACTGGTTTTGTGCTCTTGTGGGAAGGCAAGAGAGAACCTGCTCTTCACATTACAGTATTAATCCCTTTTGATACAAATGGCATGGTCAGCTGATATTAAATTTTCTATAGTGAATCCTCTCCTGACTCTTCATCTTCTTTTAGGAAATGTAATCAAGGAGTGGGAGTGAAGATACCTCCTTAAAGGAGTTATAATGCTAAGGATTTAAAGCCGAGAAAATATTGCTCAAACAGGAAAATCCTATAGTTGAAATTTGCCTTTAACTATTAAAAAGGGAACAGAAAATATTAGGAATACACAATTACTGGTTTATAGTCAATAGCAATAAATATCTGCAGCATTAGAGATTGCTCAGAGCTTAGCTACAGCAGAAAAAAATACCTATTGCTGACAATGGACGTCAGTAATGAGTGCCACTGAACTGATGCTGGATACAGTTTAGCTGTAAGTATAGATAAAGATAAACCATATTCAATGCCATTTCAGCAACACCTGTTGATACCCACGTGCAATTTGAATAATGTGGAAAAGCCAATGGAAAAAAGTTAGCCCTTAACCCAACTTCCTTCAAATCCCTTCTAAATTCTCCTGAGATAAAGCCAAAAACACCTGGAATCCCAACTCTGGTGAAGAATTCATTCACTAAAATCTTTGCTATTGGGTAAGCTGCAGGCCATTATGTGAAACAGTCCATATCAGCAAATATTGATTGCCAGTCTCTGTCTCAGGCAGAGCAAATCAACAGTAATGCACTCCTTTGGTGCCTCAATGAGATGCTGCCACATATGGGCTCTCCCAGTCTTAGAGAGACCCTTTTTTGCTACACAAGCATCATATTTCCTGCACTAATTTTCTATATCCTGCCTGCATTTCACCCAGTAGAAGTTCACTTAGCTTCTCCTTAGATGGTTCAATTTTGGATCACCTATTGATTCCTTAGCCTTTTTAGCACGTTTGGTTTAACAACTTGTGTTTGAACCAGTGTCCACTATTCCCACACATTTCACAGATCCTATTACATATTCAATTACCAAATTCTCATTACTGTTGTTTTATGGCCCAGATCTAAAACAACTGTAGGGCTGATTCTTGGACCTCCACGCTTTGTCCCTTCAGTTTAGGTTCCCCTCACTTCCCAAACTGGGAGAGGGGTTTTCACTAGGGATTTGTGATACTTTGTCCTGGCCAGCCTTATATTTATAATAATCCTCCTTTCTGTTCTCAATTTTTTCACAGTTCCAGCAGTACCATTTAACTGAATTGCTTCCCTTAATTTTTGAATTATTGCTGATTTCCCTTGTTTTACAAACTGAATTTATCACTTTTTCTAATTGTTCAAAAATTTCATAAACCAGATTGGAATCCCCTTTTCTATCATACATATTCGATACACATCTGTACTTGCAGAATTCATGCCAATCAACTTCCATCTTCCTCACTAGTGACTTCCTCTTCTGGTATACAGCTGCATGGAAAGATTCAAGTTCTATGGTTGATTCCGTAGCTTCCTCTAGTGTCTTTGGTCTCCCTCACTGATCTTGATTTGCAAGCACAAGTCTAGCTGAGTGTTTACAAATTGGTCCATTGCCCATATATCCAGTCCTCATTGGTATCTGGATATGCCAGTTACACAGGTGTCTGCAAGCCCTCTGCCAATTCAGATGAAGTCTCTTCTTTCCCTGTCCTTCTAGCCCTTAGCTGGAGCCTTGGCCAGCTCAAAATTGATTGCTGGCCCCAGACATGTCAAGAGCTTCTTCCAGGTGTGGATAACTCTTGTCTCTTTTCTGGGGGTAGATATCAGAGATGGGCCATTCATGTTGGCTTCTAATCCATCCCCCCTTCCTCTTCCCAGACATTCATGTGGGTTTTGATGTTGAACTGAGCCAGAAAAGCCTCCCTGGGAGTTTTCCCCTGAAAGATAGTGGGGTTTTATATCACATGAATTGAGACAATCCAACTCTCCCCTTTGGGCCTCTGTGGGTTACAAATTGAGAAGAAAAGTACTAGCTCATAATTTCTCTCCTTGAAAACTAGATCCCACCTCTAGCACCAGTATTGACTCTTTTCGACCTGAGTGGCTAGCAAAAATTCACAATCTGGTGGGTTGTTTCAGTTAGGAGGAGAAATAGATGATGAAGACGTATTTCTTTGATGCAATCCTGTTTATTTACAAACACTGTACAAAGTCCTGTTTCCTCGTGCACAGGAGGAGACAAACAGGATATTTTCTTTGCTCACAGTTCCTAGCCTACGTCAAGTAGCACTCAGCCCCAAATCTCTACCTAGGCTTTTTCTCAGGGTCAAGTTCCCAGTGGGGACAGTGTCTTGTTCCAAAGTCCTGGACAGGAACACAAATATTCCCAGGATATTAAATCTGCTTACTGAGAACAACAACAAAAAAAGTACCATTATTTCCCCTTAGAATTGAGGAAGGCAGAG